ATGTTCTATTAGAAAAATTGAACTTGAGAATGAAATTATTCTCAGGCATCAGTGGCTGTTAGAATATGCCATTGTTTATATTATTATGTACTGTTAAGTCAAGAAATTTCCATTACAAGAAATTCCAGGAAAGGGACACAAAACATAAAATAAAATGCTAATAAAACCATGCCTTCAAGTGATTTTATTTCACCACCATAGTTTAAGCTTCCCAAATCTTTTGGTGGGATAGGAGTAAAGCATTAAAACAATTAGGTCTGTAGCTTTAAGAAAGAAAAAAAAAAAAGGAAAAATTTGGCTGCTATCCCTGACCACAAAAGTTAACTAGAAGCAGTAGTGTCTAGTATAAGGACCAAAACTACCTGCTTCCTGGACTTTAATGAAGCTGGGATGGGGTGGTAAAAGGATACACAGAACTAAACCTGAGCCATAGTTGAGAGGAAAGAGAAAGAAACATGCATTTATTGAGTACCTACTATGTGCTAGGTCCACATTTTGATGATGATCACATGTTAAATTTTACTTAATCCTTAGAAAAATCTGAGATATTTCTCTCCTTATTTCTGGGATAGGAGGATTTGGGAGTGGGTGCTAAAGGTAGGGAAGGGGAACACAACCCAGTCAGGTGCTTGTTTCCCTTTCTCTGCTGCACACACTGGGTGAGAGCACAGGCCCTGGAATCAGAGGCAGATCTCCTGCACCTACAGATTTCATTGTCTCATCTCAGCCACCTATAGGCTGACAGCAGCCTCAGATGCTTAGGTCAGTCTAGTTCTTACTTTGCTCTTCTTTTCTGTTTTATTTTATGAGGGCACCAAAGACTTCCCCTCAGGGACAGCTATGTAGTATGTGGGGCCCATTGCAAATGAAAATGCCAACTCTCTTGCTCAAAATGCAAAAAGAAAAAGGAAAGTTATTAAAGGTACTAAAATTAAAAAAAATATTTTCCTTTCTTCAATATCTCTCAGCTTTTTTTATGTCTTCTACTTACAATTTTTGTCATTTCAAGTTAAAAAAAATTAAGACATTAAATTAGTAGCATTTTTATATTGATCAATACCTGCTTGAAATGCAAATATAAGAGATTTAACCCATATGGAGGAACACCAAAATTACACATCAATATTCCATAGCTCATGTGAGCATATGCATATGGTGGAGATGTTGCACCAAATTAAGGGAATTGTCTTTATTTTACCTCCTGATGTGTGCACATTCTGTCAACTCTGCTTTGAATTTACCCATGGCTAAGGAAGAACTGAGAAGAAAACATTCTCCCTACCTTTTCCTTTCCTTCTCCGTCATAATTGCCAGTGCAAATAAAAAATACAGGAAAGTAACAGGAGCAACTTTTGCCTTCTTTCTGTACTCAAAGCAAGTTCCAGTTCAGATGGGGAGCAGCGACTCTCCCCACTCAGACCTCGGACCCTCAGACTCTCCTCACTAGTCCTCACCCTGTGCTGGTGTTGGATCTCACAGAACTCTCAGTACTGGTGGCATTCTGTTCTCATGGGAACATCACAAACCCCACATGAGCATGGAATAACAATAACCGCAAATATTTGAATTATATATACATACCCCTCCCACTCAGGTTGATTGTTCCACATACTTCTCTTTCAAAATGAAGTTCAAAGAGAAAAGCATTAAGAAGTTTGAGGCAGTAACAACAGAGCATAAAGCCAAGCACAGGGCCTCTCTCAACTCGGAGCCCCATGTGACAGCACAGGTTGCATGCCCTGGCCCTCTGCAGTTACTAATATCAGTCATTAAAACATAGCTGGGGCAACTGTTAAAATAGTATTTTCAGGATCTAGCTTTTAAGGTTCTTGTAAAGGTCGTGTAAAGTAGGTTTTTTTAAATTTTTTTACACATTCCTTGGTTGATTGAATTGAACTCCCAGGTTTAGGAAACATGGCCCTGGAACAATTACAACCTTTTAAAATACAGTTCACCTCCCGGACCCCAGCCCTAGCAGTCAACTGCTCTTCTTTCTCTTACCTACTGCCTCACTGAGGGAAGGTCCAGAGTGGAAGGAGTGGTAGAGGAAAGGAAAGCCACCCAATGGGACCATGGCATGGGAAGAGCATGTCTGTTTGATAATCTAATTGACCCTCTGGTCTCCTCTCCTGCCTCTGGTTCATCCCCACTCCTAAGCTCTGGGGCATGTCTGTAGGAAGGAATGCCTAGAAACTGGAGTTGGGCACTTCCTCAAGACTGCTCCTTTCCTAGGTTTCTTACTTCCTAACCCACCCTCCCATCCCACCTGACCCTTTAAGCTAAATTCTTCAGAATCATTGTCAACTTCTCCCTCTTCACCACCTTTTCATCCAAATTGATCTATCCTTTAAATCTTTCCTTCTAAATCACACACACACAAAAAAAAAAAAAAAAAAAAAACACTTGTGCCTTTTTTCTGTCCCCTGTGCCATTGCCTTAATTTCACTAGACCTTTATCATTCCTCTTCTGAATCACTGGGTGACCTCCCGGTGAGGTTCCTCCTCTGCCTCTATGTTCTACCCCAACATTACTATGAGATTCTTCAAAATCCAGATCTAACATCGTCCTCCCATTCTAGATCCTTTCATGATTCCACAGAGTCTTAAAACATTTTCATCATTCCTTATAGCATATTCTACCCTTGAATCCAGCCCTTTCTGCCTATTCAGTTTCTTTTCCTGCCACAGACAATAAATACCAGCCAGGTCCAGATTTCAGCAATCCTTCCTGGTTTTTTAATGCTGCTCCCTCTACTTTGAACAGTGCTCTTCAGCGCCCCTCCCTTCCTTACCCATCAGCAAACTGTTGCTGTTCCTCTCATAGATTAGCTTGGAAACCAACTCAAAAATCATCTCCTTTGAATTTCCTGATTCTCTCCCTCCCCCATTTTAATGACTGTCCCCACGTCATTTCTACCATGCTTCCCTTCCCATGGCACTTAAGGAAAAAAAAAAAACTCCTGTCTCACCCTAACCAGGCTGTTGAGCACCTTGAGGGGGATGCTGTTCCTAGCATGATATAAATTCTCAATACTGGAGGAAGGAGGAGTGATAGCAATACACAAAGGCAAGAATACGACTATAATGAAGCTACTCTTTCTTCATCTTGCTGTTCAGCTGGCAGAATACGGCCCCCCTTCGAACAACCTATACAATATGAAAGGCAATTCAAATCCCCAGCAGAATTTCACAAAAATATCCTGATTCACAACCTACAGAAAAAAATCTCACAGTTTACCTTTCCCAGCCCTCTCTCTCAATTTCTTCTCTACCCCAAGAGCTGCCTTAAAAACTATCTCCAATCTCTAGTAATAGCTTTTTGTTTCTGCCTTTCTAACTGCTGTCCTGGATCAATATTTTCCCCTAAGAGTTCATTTCATCTTAAATATATGACTTGACCAATCTGTTGAAGCATTGTAGGTGGAGAGAGAGGGAGAGAGAGACTTTCTATACATTCCCAATGGAATTGGTCAGTGGTATGTCACCTCATACAGATGGTCTCACGATGGGTGCATATTCGACTCACCTAGAGAGCTTTCAAAACTGCCCAGCACAGCCCCATGGCAGACCTTCAAAAGTAGGTCTCTACAGAAGTAGAGTTCAGGTATATCCAAGTAATATTTCTGTCTTCTGTTTTCCAGTGCCTTAGGAAGCCCACCTCTCTACCCTGTCTAGAAACCCAATCCCTGCAGATACTTCTCTCTAATCAGACTAACAATAGAAGCCATGTCAGCAGACAAGGTATCATCCTTATAGGTACAAAAGTGGGAGACTATACTCAGAAGAAATTTTGTTTGTATCCCTGGACTCATTTTTTCTTCCCCACCTATGCTTAAATATCTTACTTCTATGGGTCCTTATCTTACTTCTGTGGGTCCTTATCTTACTTCTATGGGTCCTTATCTTACTTCTATGGGTCCTTATCTTACTTCTATGGGTCCTTATCTTACTTCTATGGGTCCTTATATTCTTCCTGCAAGCAATTTTTGCATCAATTCCCTGCCTGCAAGCTTTAGTATTGAGGTCCTCTTTTACCCCAGTCAAAAAAAAAAAAAATCAGTAATTGGGTAACATATTTGGGCCTCTAATCTCTCCTGCCTTGCATTTGCCAATCATCCCAGAGCACTCTAATCTTATGGATCTTGCTGCTCAGATCTTCCTCTAGTGACTGATGTTGGGTTTCACCCAACTACTTTCTTTTTCTTCAAGCTGTCTTCCTGAAACTCACTATGCCACATAGTTGACTCTGAACAGAAGGAAGAGAGAAAGAAAAGGGAACACAGAAACAACTACTTATAACACGTCATTGGGGCCATGGTCAAAAGCTTTTGCAATAGGACAATGATAACATGCTCTGAACAATCATGGAAATAAATGGTTCTGTCTACGCTCAACAAGTCATAGAGAGAATTTAGAAGCTGATACTGGGTTATCTTAGCCTTTTGAATTTTGTTAACTACCAGTATTCTGCTTCATCCTAAAGTTCTCTTGATTGTAAATCACTTACTAAGTTTCATTCAGACAAGTAAGGAAATTCTAGTATCATTCAACTCTTAGGTATTTATCATCCCTGGCTTGACTAGAACCCTTCTACCTTCAAAGAAATAAACTATCCGTTCTCAGTTTCTGGGGGGTGTGAATAATAATAGCCAGTTGCTCACATGCCTGAAAAGCCAATAAGAAACTTCATGTCATCCCAGCAGTTTAGGAGGCTGAGGCAGGAGGATCATGAGTTCAAAGCCAGCCTCAGCAACTTAGCAAGGCCCTAAGCAATGCAATGATACCCTGCCTCTAAATAAAATATTAAAAATCACTCAGTGGTTGAGTGTCCCTGAGTTCAATCCCTGGTACAAAAAAAAAAAAAAGAAGAAGAAAAATAACTCAATGTCTGTTATAACCATGATGATCTAATTCAGACCCAGACAGTAAAACTGAGCCGAGCTGACTGGACTCCTGAATTACCTCTCAGTGAGTGTTCCTTGTGTGTCTTTTCACTCCAGGGCTCAATGGCGATGACTTCCTGGCAGTGGGTCTGCTGAACGGCAGTGTGGTTTACAGTTATAACCTGGGATCTGGCATAGCAAGTGTCAGGAGTGAGCCCCTCGATCTGAGCCTTGGAATCCACACTGTCCGTCTGGGGAAATTCTTCCAAACAGGCTGGATGAAGGTAAAGAGACTTCACTTCATCAGTCCCAAAATTTACATGCTGGGGTATTAGTGCTCAGGTGCCAAGGCAGGCAGGACATGATGCCGTCACCTGTGGAGTTTACACTCAAACAGGAGAGGAGAGATGACCACAATTAGGTGGTGTACGAGTCAGTCAGAGGGATTACTAACATAGGTAAGGCTAAGAAACGGGGTTCAGGAAATGCCCCCCAGAAATGGTGATGCTTGAGCATAACTTTGGATAAACAGAAGGTAGGAAGAAGAATAATAGCCAGTATGAGGTTAAGGAACACAAGCAGTTTTGTGTAGTTCTCAGGTTAGGGAGTTGGACAGCAAGAGAGATTCATGGTAGACAAGTCTGTATTATCAAGTACGTATATATCAAGCTAGGAAGTTGAGAGTTTTATCCAGAGAGCTGTAGAGAGACACTTAAGATGGGCGGGGGGGGGAGGTTTGAGTACCATGATTCATTTCTATTTTTTAACAAATGAGTCCGGTGGATATATTGAAAATGAATGGGGCCAAGGCTAGACGGAGGGGTACCAGCAGGATGCCAGCTCCTAATCTTTGAAGAACTGTGATTTTGATTGAAATCCAAAACCATGACTGCTATATTAATATATCTTTCTTAACAGACACCAGCAGAGAAGCAGAGAATTGAGTAGTTTCATGTTCTTTATTTCTTCAAAATTCTAGTCTTTAAAAATTTTTCATGCCAAGATAATGGGAAATAACAAAAGAATATCTTAACAGTTCACTCTGGGAAATTAATTCACCCTGGGGAATTAATGCCTTTTTTAATAGGTTTTGATTTTTTTTTCCTTTCAAAGGTAGATGACCATAAAAATAAGTCTGTCGTCTCCCCAGGAGAACTGGTTGGTCTCAATGTCTTCAGTCAGTTTTATGTAGGTGGTTATAGTGAATACACTCCAGATCTCTTACCAAATGGAGCCGATTTTAAAAATGGTTTTCAAGGTAAGACACCAGCGGTTTTTCTACTATAGCTATTTGTTTTGAGTATTAAAAGAAAGAAAATGCTTTTTAAAGAATATATGTGCAGTTCACAAACCAGCCATGTGGATTGTTTTCTAATCAAACTTAATCAAAGTTTTATCGAAAACTTTGTTCATCATTTTGTTGATCACTTACTACATGCTTTACTAGATGTCTCAAAACAGAGACACCTACATTCATAAATTTGCATTCTATTTGGATAGAGGGAGCAACAATAAATACTAAATATAATAGAGAAGTAAATTACCTAGTAGAATAATGTGATAAATCCTATGAGGATGAAAGGAAATGTAGAATATGATCTGGAGAGGATCAGAAAGACAAGTAATTCTTTACCTAGGATACTTTTTAATGTAGGCTGACTGGGTTACAGGAAAAGTTGAAACTCTGCCTAATTTTGGAGTGTACTCCATCCGAAAGGTGAGAAACTGACGTCAACCCGCCCATAACACCAACATGTGGCCTACAGAGGCCACCCCAAGCCAAGAGGAATAAGAGGAAACATTGTGCTTCAGTGAACAATTGAATTACCATACTCTGTCTCCTTGTGTTCAAAAAGAAACACTGGTTCAGAACTCCCTTATAAAGCTTATTCAGAGTAGAGTTATGAAATAAAAAATGTGCTTTGAACTGATATAATATTCACTTGTGAATAATCTTTGTGGTGGAGAGTATTTGGTGACAGGGCTACTCCTGTGCTGTCCTCAGCCAGTCACCCAGGAAGCCTATTCTCCATCAGAATTCTGGGTGCAGGGAGGGGCCTGGAGGGTAAAGTGCATCTCTGGGAGGGAGCTGCCCTCCAGCACAGCCCAGGCACTTCAGTTCTCCCCCTGCCTGGCAGCCTTCTTTTCACCACCCCCTGATGCCTGCCCAGACACAAATGCAGAAGCCACTGTACTTGAAATATGTGAGAGCAACATAGCTAATCCTGTATAATACAAGGTCAAGTTCTAATAAAGTTACGTCATTCTGCCAAGACTATCAAAGAAAATTTTTCTTTGAATATGTAATCAGTACTGATTCTCTGAAGAGTGTCTTAAAGATCAGTTTAAAGCATATTATGGCACTGTGCTAAAATGTAATAAAGAACTCAACAGCTCTTTCCTAACAGGAGATAATCTGAAAGGGATTGTACATATATAACAAATCAATGAGTTTTTAAAAACATTATATTCAAGGGAAGAGATGGGTAAGCTTATGAATGTGAAGAAGTACATCTTCCACCCAATAGAGACATTTTGGGGGGATGACCAAAAACGTGATGTGGCTTATTCCCAGGCACAGTTCACACATAAGAACTTTGGGTTAGATAATTCCTCCATATGAAGGGTAGCAATTGCATAAGGATCAGAGCATAAACTCCATTAGACCACTGCCAGGGTATGTGCCACAGCTCCACCTGGTTTGTCACCTCACCTCCTATGCCTCAACTGTAAAATGGGATAATAACAGCACTTCTCTCGCTATGTCATCCTGAGAGTAATTTACTGGAGAGAGAACACAAATTCATGCCTGATTTAGTGAGATTCCTCATTAGCAATGATAACAGTGCTGGAGGTGGCAGAGGAACAGCTTCATCGTACACTTGCCTTCTTCTCCGCTCCACAGACAGTGGTGGAGAGCTCGGGCTCTGCAACAGACTGTCTTCAGATACAGATTCTGCCACCTAGAAGCTGTGTGACTTTAGCCTGCTACCTAACTCTAGACCTCCATTCTCTCCTGGGTAAAATAAAGATCCCTATCACATAGGGCTCTTATGGGTTAACCAATTAAGCAAAATAATTATGCTAAGCGTTTTGCTCGAAAACCAGTCCACAATAAACACGAATAAATATTATTAATAATTCCATCCTGCTGTCATAGGATTCAATGTTTTCAAATTTATTGAAGTACAGTGCTTCTTGGTTTTCTTTTGTGCTGTTTTTTTCCCCCATTCTGTTGGGATCTTTTCTTCATATTTTAACAATGAGAACAAAGAGAGGATTTTTGTCAAGACTTGTCACTTTCTCCTGAAGTGTGACAATGAGCCCGAGTCCAACACATGAACAGCTGACCCTTTTGACAGAAACACTGGGACTGTATACTCCTGGGAGCTTCTCAGCTGCTGCTGTTCTTGGTTAGGATGAGCATCTTCTTGGTAATTGCCACTTAGTTCCGAGTCTTGTGGGAGATCTAAGACCCTGGAAGCCCCGCGGTTTATCATTTGTCTCTTGAATCTTCTCTCACTATGTCTTCCTCCATTATAAACCAGCATTTACTATTTGTTACAAATCATGCATGGACAATTATTACCAGCTTAACATTACAACCAAATATACTAGAAATCCATATTTCCCCAAAGCTCTACCAACTCTAAAGAATCATAAGCACTAACTTCTTAAAAATACAGACTTCTGCACCCTACCTCAGAACTACTTAATTGAAATCCCTCTGATGGAGTATAAAACTTTACATTTTTAACAATATTTCCCAGATTTGGAAACTACTACATTATTTAATAATAACAAAGCAAATAGAATTTTATAGAAGAATTTACTCATCAGGGTAGAGTTGGAGCATTTGTCCGTGTAATGGCAATTAAATTACATGATAAAAGATTATGTGATTTAGGCTTTCACATTTCTGTAAACACTCTTGATAAATAACTCTACTCCAAAAGTTTGACATCTAAACTATAAATCCTTACTGCAAATAAAGTCCATTTTTTGTCGTTGTTCTAAAAATGTCTTATAATAAGCCATCTCTTTTCCTATGGCCTTTAATGTTCATGAAGACACTGAGGTTAACCAGGTTAAATAATTTACATATGCCAGGCAAACAGGGCCACAGTGCTTTACCTGACCTAATGAGAGCATCTCCTTTGCTGTCCAAAGTTGCATCTATTACAAAGCTGATGAGTTCTTAGGTTAAGGTTCATAGTCTTTAGACTGGACATGAAAGGAAAGAAAGAAGATAGTAATAGGGGATGAAGGGAGAGAAAGCAGGTGAGGGGAGAAGAAACTAAAAATGTTAGACCACAAGTGAGAATAAGCTATTATTCTCTGTTACCTGTAGAAAACCTTGTTGCACAATTAAATGTTCTAAAGACTGCTGCAGAAAAAGAACTAAAGTCAAACATCTCATCTCACTAAAATGCCTTTCTCATACACCCCTCTATTTCTTTTACTATCATTACCAGTCTTCCCAGTGCTTGTTTGAATCCTTTGTGCAATAGTTCTCGAAGTGTGGTCCCTGCACCAGCAACATTAGCATCACTGGAAAATTTGTTGGAAATAAAATTCTTACTGAATCTGAAACTTTGGACATAGGTTCTAGCAATATGGATTTTAATGATCCCTACATTTGATTCTGGTGCAGCTGAAGTTTGAGAATTGCAGCTTCCTGTCATCTTGAACTCCTCACACCAGCCCTATTACCTGCCACATCAGAACACTCTTGACACACTGTTGCATCATGTCACTTGCCTGCTCAAAAACTCAGCAAGCACTCTATCAATTCTTTTGATCCAGCTACCCCATTCCTCAGTTTATACCCAAAGGACTTGAAATAAGTATAATATAGTAATGCAGCCATGTCAGTGTTTATAGCAGCTCAATTCACAATAGACTATGGAACCAACCTATGTGTCTTTCAATAGATGAATGGATAAAGAAAATGTGGTATATATAGTCAATGGAATATTACTCAGCTTGAAAGAAGAATGAAATGATGGTATTTGCCAGTAAATGGATGGAGTTGGAGAACATCATGCTAAGTGAAATAAGCCAATCCCAAAAAACCAAAGGCTGAATGTTTTCTCTGATATGCAGATGCTAATTCACAATAAGGGGGGACACTGAAAAGAATAGAGTTAGATTAGGTAGAGGGAAGTGAAGCAGGGAGGGGAAGGAATGTGAGGATAGGAAGGATAGTAGAATGAAACAGACATTACTACTTTATATGTGACTTCATGACCAATGTGATTCCACAACATATATACTCAGAAAAATAAGAAATTTTATCCCATCTAGGTATGATGTATTAAAGTGTATAAATGCATGCTATTATCATGTATAACTAATTTAAACTAATAAAAAATTAAAATAAAATAAAAAATAAAGTAATGGTTAAATACTTTACTAAGCATTCTAAAGCCCACATAATTTTCCCATACTTACCTTGCCTCGCCACATTCTTTGTTCCAGAAAAAAACTATTTCCCTCAGTCAAGGATCTCCAGAGAAACAGAACCAATAGGGTGTTTATATTTATATAGAGATAAAGAGAATTAAAAGGAATTGGCTTATATGATTATGGAGCCAAGAGCTGTAGTCAGCAAGCTGGAGTGCTGGTGTATACCAGGGGAGAACCAGGGGATCCAGGGGAGTAAGCAGCAGTCTAAAAACCATCAAGTTCAGGACCAAAAACTAGCTGCTGTTTCAGCGCAAACAGGAAGGCTGGAAGTCAAATACACCAGGTTAAGCAACCAGGCAGGAGTCCCCTTCTGCTCAGCCTTTTTGTTCAGGTCTACAATTGATTGGATGGGTCCCATCTACATTAGGGAAGGCGATTCGCTTAGTCTATAATTCAAATGTTAATGTTATCCAGAAACACATACACACACAGTCTCTCTCTCTCTGTTTGGTCAATATATAGACTTCTTATGCCCCAATCAAGTTGACACATAAAATTAACTGTCATAATATCTAATCATTTGTGTGTGTGTGTGTGTGTGTGTGTGTTATTTTCCCTACCTGAGCCCTTTCTCAAAACAATGCCCTTCACCACTTTAAATTCCATTTGCCTTGAAGGCCAGCTCAAACCCATCTCCCCAGTGAGGGCCTGGTAAAAAGATTAAAAAATCCTTTCTTTCTAGTTTTTCTTTAAAAATGTCTCTGTGTGTGTGTGTGTGTGTGTGTGTGTGTGTGAGTGTGTGTGTGTGTGTGTGTAATGCATTATCTATAATCGCCCTACTATGCTATAGCTTAATTTCTAATAATGGAATATGAGTCAATTGTTTAATAATTGGAGGTTGATTAAATATATTATAAAAATTATTTTGTCATCACATAAAAATACTTTAATACTTTAAAAAAAAAGAGTAAGCAGTGGGCTAGGGTTGTGGCTCAGTGGTAGAGCACTTGCCTAGCACGTGGGAGGCACTAGGTTCGATCCTAAGCACCACATTAAAAAAATAAATAAATAAAATAAAGTTTAAAAAAGGAAAAGAGTATTTCAATGTTCAATTTGGGGCATAATATTACATATCATATAGTTTAATTCAAGATTTCACTTTCACTTAAAAGTACAACTAAGTGTAGGAGAAAAGATCATAAATACATATTCGCAAGTCAAATATTAATAGTTATATTCTCTGAAATGCTGATACTATGGATAACTTTTTACTTTTCTCTCTATGATTTTGTTTTTTGTAGTATTTCTTAAAAATGTATATTTATTATTTTATTTTGAAAACTCACTTTAATAATGAAAGAAGTACTGTCACCTAGTTTCACTTGTTAACAGAGTGTCTTGGCCCTTCTTCAAGGTTGCATTTTCGCTATTGAAGTTCATACAGAGAAAGATGGCCATTTCAGAGGCCTTGGAATTCCCAAGGGCCACCCAACTGCCGGGCGCAGCGTTGGCCAGTGTGAGGCTTCTCCCTGCAGTTTAATGAAATGTGGCAACGGGGGAACGTGCGTAGAGAGTGGATCTACTGTTTAGTAAGTATGAAATCTTCAGGAAAGACAATAGCAGGTTAATTTGCTTTCTAACAGGTGCCCTGCTCCAACTGGTACTGAACTTGCCTGACCTAGAAACACAAACCTGCTTCATATTTTAAATGTTTTTATGTAGATTTGTAGATGAGTGAAGAATAGTTTAAGGCAACTAGAAGTAGAATCAGCACAGCACACCTCAATACTATTAAACAATGAAAATGAATCACTGTATCTCATTCCAAACACCATTGAAAATATAGCTTAAATTCATAATATTGAGAGTGGACAGAAACGTTAATCATAAAAAGCCTATATTCAGGATTTGTTTTTGAACTTAGGTGTGAGCTCCTATAGAAGGAACTCCTCTAAGTGGGTGTTGTAGTTTGGATGTGAGTTGTCCCCCAGATACTCATGCATGAGACAATACAAGAAGGTTCAGAGGAGAAATTAGTGGGTTGTAAGAGTCTTAACCCAATCAGTGAGTTAATCCCCTGGAGAGGGATTAACTGAGTGGTAACTGAAGTGGTAGGGTGTGGCTGGAGGAGGTGGGAACTGGGGTGTGTCTTTGGGGTATATATTGGTATCTGGATAGCGGAGTCTCTCTCTCTGCTTCCTGATCACCACGTGAGCTGCTTCCCTCTGCCACACTCTTCCTCCTTGATGTTCAGCCTCACCTCAAGCCCCAAAGAATGGAGCCGGCCTTCTATGGACTAAGACCTCTGAAACTGTGAGCCCTCAAATAAACTTTCCTCCTCTACAGTTGTTTTGCTCAAGTCCCATAGTCACAGGAGTGAAAAAGCTGACTAAAACAGTGGGCAATAGCAAAGCTATACAATTTAGCTTCTGTACTACTTTAGTATGAAATTACACATAAATCTAGTAAGTGGGGGAAAAGGAGAAAGGAATTTGGCCTTACTAATAATTTCTTTTGTTGAGCACCTGCCCTATGCAAAAGTAGTTAAGAGGGGCTCCAGAAATATGCTATAGAAAGAAGAAAGCACACTTTCAATTCCTTACACTGTAGCTATGTATACATTTCTTATATCATACATATACAAGAGAGAGTTAAAGAAGTGATTTATCAAAATAAGCCCACCTTGGTGGAGCACAACTGTGATCCCAGCGGCTCAGGAGGCTGAAGCAAGAAGACTGCAAATTCAAAGTCAGTCTCAGCAACTTAGCAAGTACATAAGCAATTTAGTGAGACCCAGTCTCAAAATTTTAAAAATAAAATAAAAAGGGCTGGGGATATGGCTCAGTGGTTAAACATTCCTGGGTTCAATCACTGGAAGGAAGGAAGGAAGGAAGGAAGGAAGGAAGGAAGGAAGGAAGGAAGAAAGGGAGGGAGGGAG